CATTCTCCCAATTCAGGAGGGCCCCAAGGGCCAGCTCAGAGTTGCGAGGAGGGATGGTTCAGGGGCCGGTTTCAAGGGCGCGTCGGGGGCTTGCTCTGGACATGCAAACTGTCGCCGCAGCGAATGCAACAAACAATGGGCATGCTAGTACGCGCGCGTCTTGTATAAAGCTGACTGCACGATTGCCGATGCTACTTTGGCTGGGCCCCCCAAATGACGCGCCCCCCTCCCGCCCCCCTCGGACCGCTGCAAGCGCCGTCGCGCATGGGCTTTCTAGTGCGCGTTCGCGTTGCTTCAGCCCGAACGCACGATTGCAGGTCCTATCTCAGATGTGGGCGAACTAGCACGGGGGCCCTCCTGACTATATTTTTGTTAGGGGGCGTCGAACTATCGTTGGCCATCTCGGGCGTCGCGCCCCTGATTATGCTAGCCCCTTGCGGGGGGTCGAAGGCCCGGCGCGATCTTGGCAATGGCCCATCGGCATGCCCAACTCACCGCGGCGCCCGGGCCGCGGGCCACAGGCCTCTCGGAGGCCGAATGGGGGGGAAGGGGGAGGGGGGGTCTTGAAATGCCCTTTGGGGGTGCGCATTGGGGGGCTTTGTGGGCCGCCCCGATATCAGTGCTTGCGCGCTCGCTTTCGGCGGCCCACTCATGGATCGAGAGGCCAGGCATAGAAATATCAGCGCCGCCCGAAACAACCCACCACATGTGAGTCAATCAGCGGCGCCTGCTCCTGCGAAAGCCTCTGCGCTGGGGGGCCTACCTGGCGCGCGTGGCCCGAGGGGTGTGCGCGATGCCGGGGGCCCGGGCGGCGCGTGCCAAAATGTTGAGTTCGGGCCTTTGCTGACGAGAGTGGAACTGATGTCTAAATCAGGCGAGCCTGTCGAGGTCGAGATTGCCTCGTCCATTCCTTGCATGTGCACGGCTGGGGAGTGCGAGATTCCCTCGCGTTTGCTATCTAGGGCGAACCACATCCAAGGCGCTCGCCCCCTTGCGCCCACGCCTCGCCCCGCGCTTGCCCCGAAGAGGACGCGGGGGAGGGGCCGGATGGGGGGGGGGGGGGCGCGGAGGAGGGGGGGGGGCGAGGGAAGGAGGAAGAGGGGGGAAGAAGAGTCGTTGGAGGAAGAGGCAGCCGCTGGATATTGCCGCCTTCTCATGCTTCTGTTTGCGGCTGGGTCAAGCATCAGTGCGGCGTTTTTTTTGTTTGCTCGTTTGTTTCTCTCGGGGCTGCGATATGCTTGCCCGACGTGAGCTGCGCGCGCCGTGGGCGCGCGAAACCACGCAGTGAGCATTCGCCGCGGTCGACCACCATGCATTGCGACGAAGCAAAAGCAGGCAACATATTGGAAGCACAGAATAACAGAGCGACGCAGCGCATGTATGTTTCGATCCTGGAGTTTTGGCCCGCGGCCTCGTCGCAAAGAAGATGCGTGGTTGACCGCTGGGGCCGCGTCGCCCGTGATTGCGTCTCAATGCGCGGGCGGGGCGGCGTAGTTGACGGGGCGTGCGCTTAAGTTCATGTTCCTACCTGCCCCGCGCAATCTCCGTTTAGGTGGCGTCGGCATGGGTTTGGCGAGTGGGTTTAAGTTTCGGCTCGCGGCCGATGTCATAGTTATGTTCGGCCATGGAGGCGCCGCGCGCAGCGTCTGGACGTGCAAAGGCAGCGGCGGCATCAAGCCGCGCCTTCAATGCGCGACCATAGCGAACAAAAAATGTGTCGCTGCGGCTTTCATCGATGACAGATACTATAGTCCCGTGTATTAGTTTGATGGGCGCGTTTCGGCATCAACGGCGGCCATGCTGCGCGTGGTATACTTCCCCTTTGCACGTCGACCTCTCATGAATATGGGTGCACGGGGCAACCCTGAGAACTTGTTGGGCTGGACAGCTTCGCCGCGCGGCGCGTGGCTGGGCGCGGGCCTTAGGGCCCCCCTTGATTCTTCTAAGCAAGATTGCCGCGACTGGGGCGCAACTTGTTGCAGGGTATGTGGCGCGCGGCGCCTTGCAACGTTGTCGAGGCGCTTTTGGGGGTCGGAGTCAAGCCTGCGAGCGCCCGCGGCTACGTCGCGAAATTCCTTTGGCCATCGAAGGTCCAAGACCCGTCTGTCGCAGGAGCAGACGTGTTTAACAAGAAACGGTTTGCCGGGTTTGGGGGCGCATCGCATTGGCGGCGTTCGGTCTCGGGGGCGTTGTTGCTGCGCCCAGTCATTGCTCATTATCTTCGAGCCGTGGTATTGCCCCAGAGGGTGGCCACTCGCGCTGTTCAGTGCGTGATGAACCTGCCAATTCCCTATCACATCCTTGGGGGTGGTGTTAAATTGGTCATATCGGCCCAACGAGTGGCCATTGCAACAACTTGTTGTTTTTCCGTTCGCGCCTTCACGCATGTGGCGTCGATAATTTGTTGTGGACGTTCCACAGTCTGCTTTGCCACAGTGAGTACGTAGATCGGCGGGGCTTCTCGCCCATCACAACAGCCCTCGAACGGAAGCACGGGGTTGCCATCAAATTCGGTGAAGACCATGCTAATGGTATTTTTCTCCTGTCATAAGTGACCTCGATTCTAAGTCGTTGCGCGCGTTGTCCACGTCTGCGTGGTTAGACATCTCCCCAGGGCTGATGTATCCAAAGGCACCGACGAAAAAATTGATTGGAGCAGAGCCCGATTTGATGAACATGGAGTTGCATCGCGCGGAGACCACGCCGCCTTGCGGCGCGGGGTTGAGTGGGAAATTGCCCAAACTTTTTGTTGCACAGTGCCACGGTTGCACGTTTGCCGCGGTGCAGCCATGCGAGTGTGCCGCCAAACATTCGCGGCACAGCGTGTGGGTATCAATGGCTGATCCTACTCCCGTAGGCCTTGGAGACATCATCGATGTGGTTGTGATCTGCTTCGCTGATGATCGCCTCACTGTGGTGCACCCGCTTCGCTTGGAGAATTGATCCGATTTTCACGTGGGCCGTCTTCCGTCATCTTCACATTTGGATATCCCAGAATAATGGTTGTTTATATTCAGAGCTTGTCTGCCGACCTCCGCCGCTGCAGCAATCCAAAATCGAGGGGTGCAGGAGGAGGAGGAAGAGGAGGAAGGGGAAAACGGGCACGATGAGGAGGAACGCACCGAAATATCAAGACACCAAATCCTGGGAATAACTGCCCGCGCCCGTGCTCTGGTCCCACGCGCGCAACGTTCTCGGACCCTTCCCCCAACAACAACGCCAAGAAAATGTGCGGGGGGGGGAGGGCATGGGGCGTTATGATACACCGAAGGGGTGGATGCGAAGCAGGATGAGGAAGAGGACCGCGAGGAATATACCAACATCTATACGTCGCATGCTAGCGATCCGCCTATGAATTCCCCCAAGAAAATCTTTGCGACCAGGGAGTTCCAGGGGACGATGTTTGTTTATCGGTTGCGTGTTTTTTCCCCTTGCGATCGGGTTAGCAACTCGCCAGCAAGAAGGTTATTCATTGGTTATCGGGGGGCAGGGGTTTAGCGAAGCGTCTTATTAAGTCCTTCTTGAAACATGTGCCAACCGTTTGGAAGACGGAAGGGATTGCTGCGGGTTACGGCAAACGCTTGCAACCGTCTGGCAACTCCAAACAACCCGCTTCAAATATGCCAGACATTGGATTTCTTAACATCCCCATCTCTCATCCAAGCACCTGGCGCCTGCACGGGCCCGCCGTGGAGCTGCTGCAGCAGGCCAGTCACGACGGCTTGCGCGGCGGGGGCAGTGGCGGCTGCAAGCGCCGCGAAGGCTTCATCGAGCCTTCCGGCGGGGCACCATTGCATGGCCTGGCGCACTGGCGCCGCCAGCGGCGAACCCGGCCTGCACAACCGCCAGCGTCCGCTGCGCGGCGGTCTCCTCGGTTTCTGCACGCTCCACCTCATCCAGCATGGCCGCAGCGGCCTGCGCCGCCTGCTCGACCACCTTCGAGCGTCGTCGGCGGCCTGCCGCGCCTGCAGGGCCGCTTCGGATCTGTGGCGCAGCGGATCCGTAGCGAACTGCAGCCTGCCCTCGAGAGGCCGGGCTGCGCGCTCCGCCTCCACCAGCGCCGCTTCCTCCGCCACTGCGTCACCTGAGCGGCGAGATTCTGGACGCCCTGATTCGTCGCGATACGGGCCCAGATGGCAGCCAGGCGGTCCCCAGCTGCTGGCTCGGCCGTGGCGGTATCGTGGGCCCCCGCGCCCGCCGCTGCCGCAGGCGCATCCTGAGGAACCGCCGCGGCGGGTTGCGCAGCAGGCGAGCCTGCCGCCGGCCGCGCCCACGTCGCTGGCGTCGCCCCCCTGCGAGCCGGCGCCTGCGCGGGGTCGGGGCGCGTCGGCCTCGCCAGAGGCTCGCAGAAGGCCGAGCGCGGCCCACGACGGCCACACGCACTTCGGCAGTCCGACGAGCCCAAGTGTCTGACACGCCGCACGCGCATCCCCACATGGGGTGCCTCGGCCCCTTCGGATCCTCGGGGCGGCCACCACGCTTGTTCCCCCCCTGCGCTCCTTCTCCCGCTTCCCCCCCTGCTGCCCGAACCAGGCAGCCCAGCCGCCCGGCATACCGCAAGCAGTGCCATCCCCAGCTGCGGCGGCACGGCGGGACCGTCTCCAGCTGGCGGTTTGCCGCGGCGGCCGCCCGGCATGCGGCCACGCACGCGGATTACCCTACGCGTGGGTCACTTTTTCGGGCGTCCAGCCGCGGCGTCGAGGGGAGGCACCTTGGCCAACACGTCTTGAGCCAAAATGGCTTGAGCCACGGGGCTTGTGCCAAAATGGCTACGGAACATGCGCACACCCGCACGCATTCTCCAGCGACAAGTGCTCACCATTCTTGTCTTGTCAGGTTTCGGATGTCACAGGGATGAGGGGGGATTACGGTTTGGGCGGGACGATATAGCTCGATCTTGCATGATACATGCGAACACGTCATGCTCAGAGTGGTGCCGCCAACCCCAAGTTCGAGGGGGGCGTGAGAGCCATGTGGAGTGATTCTTGCGGGAACCACAGGAGCAATGCTTGCCTGGACTGCCTCGGGGGGGACGAGGCCAAGTGCATCCTGGAGTTCCTGTGAGCGGGGGCGCGGCCACCGCCGCATGCGCCCGCCTGCGCGTGCACGGGAGGGCGCGATGGCGCTGCGGGCCGGGGATGGGGGCGGGCGGGCAGATGCTGGACTGGGGGTGGGGGACGGGATGATTCGAGCGCCTGCTCTTCGCCGCCCAGCTTTCGCTTCTTCAGCAGCACGGGCCCGTGCTGGAGCCGCCTGGGATAGGCTCTGGTCTAGCGCCCGCGTGCCTCGTGCCCCAGTCCGAGCCCTCCTCTGTTCCCCCAGAGTTTTTTCGTGCC